GCAACAGTGATAAAAACACCAGCTAAACAATGTTGATAAAATGAAGCACAAAATGAAGCACCTTTCGAAATTTTATCTTTTTGTAATTTACAGGACATACAAAGGAAACAACGTATAAAGGAAGTCATAGACAACATTAAAAATAGAAAGGCAAAGAAGAAAAAACAGCCCCCAACTACTAGTTCGCTGCTCCAAGAAATGGAACACTGTTTTTTTCTACTTCAATTCTTTATTGCTAAATAAAAGATCTTTTTTAAATCAATATTATAATAAATACTGCTTTTTTCCTACTTTAATTGTTTATTGTTAATAAAAGATCTTTTTTTAAATCAATATTATAATAAATACTAACATTTTTAAAAAGATATTGTCATGTTGTGCTTTTAGAACACAATTGCGTTAATCGTCATTGATTTTATATCCTGTAATTTATAGCTCGACTATTCGAAGAATAAGGAGAGCTTTCACCTCACCCGGGCGTCGGCGTTAGTTTAATGTTCTGTCCAATTTTTCATACCACTTCAATTATTTTTGCAGACTTGTTAACCACCATGACCCGAACCCTTAGACATGGGTAGATAACTCTGTCAAGCATTTTGTTAAAACTGACTGCCTTGTCGACTAAGATGGTTTTCATTTTACTACCAAGAACTAAAAATAGTCGAGTGTGCTGCCCATGACGCTCTTATTGTAGTTTTTAATTCGCGCGAGCTTAAGAAGAAGCTTTGCTGTGTCATCCATCTTGTCTAGAGGAAAATATAATAAATAGAACCACTTTCCGTGTGCTGGTGTCTCGTATCCAAAGCTGTGCTATGTCAATCTTAAATTTGCTAGAGTAAAGTAGGACTGGTGGAATAAGAACAAAAAAGCGTAGTTTTGGTGCATGACCTTGCCCTACACGGGCGCTTTATACTAGGGCTAGAAAAAGTCAAGTTGTTTAATCCATTTTGAGGGCTTATTGCGAAACGGTTGTAACTTAAACTAGATAAAGAAGGAGATACAACTGTTTTGCACCAAGCCCTCGAATTATATTTTTAGTTGCATTTTATGATACACGTACAGCTTCATGGCGGTTGAATATCTGTTCCTATGCCAATCCCTAAACCATATATTAATTCCATGCATTTGTAATAGAGGTCGCTAAGTAAAAAGTCAAGACCACAAGTGTTTGAAGTCACTACTCACAAGTAGGAAGGCAAAAGTCACAAGTAGGAAGTCACAAGTAAGAAGTCAAAAGTCACAAATAGGAAGTCTCTAGTCAGAAATATGAAGTCACAAGTCAGACCATTGTGCACGAAGTGTTATTGCAATTATCGCTTAAAACGTCCTTAGCTTTACAAATGCGTCATCCTGGAAGTTCTTGAACCTATAACTACCTATTCGCCATAATAAGAATCAATGCTTCTATAAGCGCCCATCCCTTCTTTTCCATTTGTAAGTGTTTAAGCGCCCAGGATAAATTGTCTTAAAAGAAAAAAAATCAATTGACCACAATCGACATTTTAAATTTTTATGCATGTCCGCGGGCCTAGAAAATTTCACTGTACGAGGAAAGACTTGTGAATATTCACATTTCAAACCCATTGTAGTGATTTGTCAGTAAACGGGACCACTTTAAATACGATATATCAACATAATTTGCATAGCTGTGACTCTTACATATTGTACACTTTTGTAAGACCTGACTCCTAATAAGCGCCCACCTTTCACAATTTTCTAAGCGCCCTGGGCGATTACTAGGAAGAATACGGTAGTACTGGCTAGATATCCTGTGCAAGTTTGGTACTACGGCGTTTGGTCTACAAAGATGAACGTGAGGTAGTGAATTTATTCAATAGCCAGATTCTAATTAACTGAAAGTTAAGTATATAGGCCCTATAAGTCTGCACACCTGCACAGACTAATTCGGTCTACACTTGGTGGTCACTCGTCCGTAGTTTTTCTTGACTGAAACGTTAACGGTTACAAACAGACCTTTGTGAGCCATGATGTATTTGAACGTAGAAATAACATTTGACTTCCGTGACATTCGTTTGTTATAATTGACTGTCAAACATAAGAATAAACATATGCCACTTACGTTATGAACTATAAAATATATTATACTATAGTTTACAACATCATCACGATCATCATCCTTAATATAGTTATCATCATCGTCATGATTATAATTATTATCATCGAAATCAACTTCTGCTTATCATCAACAACATAATTATTTAAATTATAAAGTCGACCTTCATCATGAGGAGTAGCATCATGACAATCATCATTGCAATCAACATACTTATAATGATAATCATGATGATGTAGATGATGATGATAATGATGGATCGTGTTGATCATTTGTTCTCTAACAAAACAACTTTATGGCTTAAAAAGACTTCAGTCTTCATACGAGTTTGCCACTAAATCATTCAACTTCAGGAACTAATTCAATGCTGAATCGGCATCTACTGGCATTTGGAGGTCGGGCTTTAACAGATAAGCAAATTCGCTGAATTCGTCAAACTTTCTCTTTGGAACTAAATACATGTCTTTACAACAGGTCACATCACGTTTGTCAACCACCGTACCATAATCAAGCGCGTCAAACGTTTCAGGTAAAAATTACATAATGTCAGGTTTTCCGTAATGTGCGTCGGAATTGTGCTATGGTCTAATTTCATGTACATTCCACTGTTGAGCAATTCTATCCAGGTGTGTTTGTATTAGGTTCATTAAACAAAATAATTTCAAATTTTCACTATGTATCTGGTCGAGTTCATTGAAACGACCAGAATCGCGCAAAAACCACCACTGTATTCCTTGTTGACGTAGCGTTCCCCACCATCTTTCAATGCGCTGGTTAGAAGTGCTTCTTCCAACAATAACGCTGCGACTACCAGCAAAGTGGTAGGTTGCTACACTCCGAAAGAACTGCTGTAGAAGACAAACAACACTGTTTTCTATTCCAGCATCGGAACAAGTATGCGAGGTGATTTTTCAATGCGCTTCTATGCATCAAAATAATATATCGCAATCATTTTTGGATCCTTGTTAGTGTCAGAAACCTTTAACCAGATAACTTTCCTGCTAAAACCATCTACCGCTCCGAGTATACCAAAACCGAATGGTTTCAACTTATCATAACAATCTAAATGCCAAATATTGTTTGGCCCTTTTGCACAATAGAAACGTCTTTTAAGTCGATGTGCTTTTCTCATTTCAACACCATTTGGATCTATTGCCTTCATTATGTCTATAACATCTTTATGGCTTACATCCATCACTATGATTCACTTTCAGCCGGCGCCATAACGTCCGATAACCGACAGACTGTCCACTATAATGCATTTCCGTGCCAATTACAACGAACAACGTTTTTCAACTGCGATTGCAAATGTACACCTCGACATTTCAGGTTCAACTTCTTCAATTAAGATTCTTTTCAGCTGACGCAGTGGCAACAAAATACCATGCTTAAGTAGCAAAAATCCAAGAATTTCACTGTATTTCACACGAATTTCATATTTTGGCACAACACAGCCATCTTCGCTCATTACTCACGTGCTCTCTTAAAGTGTGGTTTAATTAATTAATTTCACAACTAAGAAGTTATAAGTCTTGAGTTAAAAGTCAAAACTCCCAAGTCAAAAGTCATAACTCCCAAGTCAAAAGTCATTAAGTAAGAAGTCAAAAGGGCCCTCCAGTGCTTCCATACTCCAGTGCTTCCATACATCTGCCATACTAAATAGTGATATTTTCTGCGTAAACTTGTGTGTTTACTTTAATTTTTTACTCGGAATTATTCAGAAAATGGTATTGAATCATTTTCTTAATAAGAAATAATTGTTTTATGTTTGACCTTTTCCGGTCTCAGGTCTTCAACGGTCACCAGTTTCCAAAGACCTTCTTCTATATTTATCGATTATTGTCAACTATATTCGTAATACAAACGTTTATTTATCCCAATGTTGGAAATAGTTAAATGAAATATCTTTTTATCATTAAAAATGTTCCCCGCAGGAAACCATTTTACTTGTCTGTAATAACCACGGAAACAAAACGGATTGAAAGTAGTTCTACCACGTGGTTTCAGATGTAAACAGAAACATAGATAATGTAAAACGAATGTATATATTTGACATCTAATGCCTGTTCAGGTACTCTTATGCTTAAAAATATGACTGACAACAATTTGTAATTAAATTATATGCCTACTGATGTTCAATTTTAAACAAATTCGACTGAATGTCAACAGGTTGGTTTTTTGTGCTTTCTGTTTCAACAACCATAATAATTAATATATAAATAATGTACTGTTTGCTTTTGTACCATGAATTCACTTATTTTAGGTGGACTTTAACTGCATATATTGGAAATAAACTTGTCAACAACTCTCAGCATTAAATTACTATTAGTTTACATGTTTATTTTCTTAGCGTAGGTTAGACCGAAATACCGCATCCGTTCTGTGTATTAATACTATTGTGTTCCAGGTCCTTATCCGAAGACTGACGGAAAGGGCCGAAAAGTTGTGATTGACCCTAGGAGCTGGGGATAGCTTCCTCGCCATTATACCATAGAAGCTGGGGATAGCGTCCTCAAAATTACACTCGTGTAGGTGGGGACAGCTTCTTCACAATTATATCTGGCGTAAAACTTGAAAGGCAAGTTATACTTGGCAAGAGGTGAAGGGTGAGTGGATCAAAATCAAAACATCAACCACTCGGCAAATGAGACTTTTTTGACATCTGTACCTAGCTACCAAACAAGACGATATATTCAGCATTACTGTTTGTTTGTTTTTATGTTTTAGTTTGACTACACTGGTCTAACTACATGTATATATGTTGATGTCAGATACGTCCATTTATCAGTACATCTCAATCATTCATGCGAACTTCATATATGAGACTTTTTTTATACTGTATGCATTCAGAAAAACAAACTGTCAAGTTATATTTAAGCAATCATATCTTAATGTTGACATAAACATGTACAAAACAAACAAAATAATAATTTAATTATATGTTCCGTCAAGTTTTGTTCTTTCCATCAAAATTTAATTTCTCATAACATGTCTTAATTTCATGATGACAATGGATTTTAGTTCTAAAATGTATATCTATTCGGTAAAGTGTGTGGGTTAACTTTTGACCTAGTCCCATGCTGTCAAAACTTAATAGATAAATGATATTCTATTGCTTTGAATAAATGAATAATGTTCTTTCACCTAATGAAGTTCATCAACACACACACAAAAATACATTCCATATTCAGAAAAGTAGATAATTTTTCTTTTCATCTACGTAAGCACTATCCAAAATGAGTAATACACGAGGAGTGGTATAAATTATACCTCACTATACCAGTATTAATCGTGAAATAAATTCCCATATCACATGTAAAAATATGCAATAAATTTTGTCTAAGATCTGATATTGCACATTCAGCGCATAATTTATACTATATATAGCAAAACTTATAGTATATAGCATAATTTATTGATTAATTAAATCACATAATAATGATTACTTAAATAACCCTTTATACTACACTATATATTTTGTAAAAATAATACACATATGACACAAATTCATAAACAAAACTCAAATTTTCAATTAAATATTGCTTTTTATTATACAGTTTGATGTAAAATTAGGCACTGCATGTCCACCAATGATTTTGATTTTCATAAATTTTGAAATGCACTTGTTTACAAAAGAATTTAAAATTGCATCAAGCGGTTCCTGGCTTCTGTTGCCAATAAGGTGACGATTGTGGCTGGGCAGGTAGAATTGATGAAAAGTCCACGTTAGCAAAGTATTCGAGTCGGTGACTGAAAAAAATATAATAATATTTTCGTATTATTTAGTTTCTTCATTGTGACAGTCAATACCATATGTTTACAAAAATAATAATGTGAAAACTTCAAATGATAAGGGTTACACATGTATGCAATATCTACCGTCAACATCCTAGGAAGAATTCAATATTTACATATGTCAATGTTTTATATCAAGAATTCCAAAACATCCCTATATGTTTTCATATGTCCGTTAACCTTCAGTGGAACACCACTACTTTTGTGCCCTTCTAGGAAGAGCTACAGCGGCGTATGGCCCTCAAATAAAATAGAACGTGTATGCCCTAGCTTAAAGGAACATAATGCTTCAGAAATCATATTTTTAAGTGTTTGGAATTGTCAAACCAGTGTTAAATAATGTTTCAATGTGGAATTCAGAGCATGTAAGATGTATTACAACTGATGAAAATAGCGCTGAATGTGAAGTCACGTGTCATAAACGTAACAAAATGTAAGCACTTCCATATAAAACTAGAAATGTGTCATCATGCCACGGATGCCCCCGCATGCAGCCAAAATTTCAGATGGTGCATTAATTATTTTTTTCATTTTAAGTTCAAAGCCCTTAAAACTTTTCAATGTTAACACAAACCATTTCCATACAATGTTCAAGGCACTGAAATTATTCAGTCTTAACCTTTTAGAAATAGCATATTGCATATTTGCAGCCAAAATAATGGCTAAAAGAATGAGTGGTGAAACTGAAAGTTCAAAATTTTTCCAACATTCAGGAAAGATAAGTTTGTCTAAAATCATTGAACCACGACCAAATTCAAACTTAAACTGCTTATTTCTAAGATGTATCTGTATTATTTTCAAAGTGAAAGAGACAAACTCTGCCAAAAAATCATCAAACCATGACCAAATTCCAACTTGACCTGCCCATTCCTTTGACATATCCATATGTCAAATTAAAGTTGAATATGTGACACTGTTGGGTAGATAATGAACAGAAACTGTAAATTTCATATTATTTTCAAAGTGAAAGGGGCATTACTCTGCCAAAAATCATTGAACCATGACCAAATTCAAACTTGGCCTGGGCATTCCAAAAACATATCCATATGTCAAATTTGAGTTGAATGTGTTGTACCATTGGGAAGATAATAAACGGAAACTGAAAATTTCATATTACTTTCAAAGTGAAAGGGGCATAACTCTGCCAAAAATCATTGAACCATGACCAAATTCGAACTTGACCTGTATTTTTTCATGACATATCAATATGTCAAGTTTGAGTTGATTGTGTTGTACCATTGGGGAGATAATGAACCGAAACTGAAAATTTCATATTTTTTTCAAAGTAAAAGGGGCATAACTCTGCCAAAAATCATTGAACCATAACCAAATTCGAACTTGACCTGTATTTTCTCATGACATATCCATATGTCAAGTTTGAATTGAATGTGTCCAACCGTTCTTAAGATAATGAACGGAAACTGAAATTTCATATTATTTTTAAAGTAAAAGGGGCATAAATCTGCCAAAAATCATCGAACCATGACCAAATTCGAACTTGACCTGTATTTTCTCATGACATATCCATATGTCAAATTTGAGTTGAATATGCCCAACCGTTCTTAAGATAATGAACGGAAACTGATGATGACGGAATGACAGAATGACGGAAGGACGGAAGGACGGAAGGATGGAAGGACGGAAGGACGGAAGGACGGAAGGACGGAATGACGGAACAGGGTAACACTATATGCCCCGGCCATTACATGGCGGGGGCATAAAAAACTAATTCACTATACTAGTAATTACACCATTAAAATTTTGCTGACAGAGCAAAAAAAGCAAAAGACAGAAGTTCATCCTTTTGGCAAATGAGTATTTCTTTGAAACTGTAACAAGATTCCAAAAATGAAAAGTATTTGAGAAATAAAAACTGATAGCATTTCTGAGGCATAGAGCAAATTTTAATGTGGCTTGGCAATGATGGTTACAATCATTACATAAAATCATCATGTCTTATTAAACATAAAAATTCACTTCTGTTTACTTTAAACTACAGAGAAATCACTTACAAGTCTGGCTGGTCACCTGGTACTGCCATGTAAGCTTCATACTGTCTGTTATCACCCGATCCATGAATTGCATAAGCGTTAAATTTAGACACATTTGGCGGGAAATAATCTGCAGGTATAACAGCCGTACCTGTCCATTCTGAACCAGAAATTTTGCTTGTAAATAATAATGGCAGTTTGTCCTAAAAGAAATAAAGAAAGAGATATCTAAAGAAGTCCCTTCTATCCAAAACAGCTAACTTTTAAACACAATCTTTTTTCAAATATGGCGAGAGCAAACACCTCTGAACCAGAAATAATCATACATAAATTGTAGAATTAAAACATATCAATGATAACGATAATTGTGATCAGCATCATTAATAAACTTTGTCACTGAAAGTGTCAATTTAAACACATAATGTCCCTTATGGTTACAATCATTACCTAAAATTATCATGTCTTGTTGAACATACAATTTCACTTCTTTTTATTACTTTAAATTACAGACTTTCAAGTCTGGCTGATCACTTCATATCTAATAACCTTCACATTAACCAGTCCCTTTGGCAGCAAGGTCTAAATGCCTTATATCTGCCAAGCAAAGTAGTATGCTCAATTCACTCCAAAGATCTGGTCCTTTACTCTATTAGAAAGTTATCTAGAAACCTCACTTCTTTTCTAGCCTTTCTGCCAAACCTGGGATAAAGACGCTGAACACAACACATCGCACAATGTAGCCGCGATACTTCCAACATGATTATTGGTAATCAGCAAGGTGTTCCAAAATGTTTTATAGTATAACCTCTACCAAGAAAATTGAAAATGACTAGTGTCACGTGACACAAAACGTAACAAAATAATTAATCCATTGACCTACCTTTATCATGTTTCTTCTACCGTCTAACATCAGGACTATATGTTGACCATGACTGAAATATATAGGTTAGGATAGAAGACAAAATATTGCAAATTTACTTAATTTTGATTATTATGATGAAAATGTACATTGAAAAATGAATGAGTTAAAAAATATGTACTGAAATTGAGATAGCATTATTTATGCAAAATTTTATACATTTTATCTTTATAACTGTTACAGTGACATATTGGAAATTTTTTGGAAAATTCATGTGAAAATTTCCTCCTACTAAGTCAATGTTTTAGGGTGTGTTTTTTGTTGTTGTTTTTTGTGTTTTTGCTTTTGTTGTTTTTTTGTTTGTTTTTTTGGAAACACCATCAATATATGAGCCGTGTCACGACAAAACCAATGTAATGGGTTTGCTACCAGCATGGATCCAGACCAGCCTGCGCATCCGCGCAGTCTGATCAGGATCCATGCTGTTTCGAAACCCATTATGTTAGTTTTGTCGTGACGCGGCTCATATGTGTTCCTGGATGATCACCTGAATGAAATTGGTTGGTTTTAATCAGTTTGTTACATTTCCCAAACTTTTCAATTTTGAAGGAATTGGTTTTTGGTGATAAAACTTTGAGAGTAAGAAATCACTGCCTCAATAGCCTAAATTATGTTTAAAGTAGAATGTTCATAACATGTTTTATTTCACATTGAAAAAGTTTTTTGAGTGCACTCAATGTCTACCTTTATATTTACGTTAACTAAGAACAACCTCTGACACCTGATTCAGGGTATCTTTTCTTTGGCCTAGTGGTCTACAGCATTGTTACTAGTACATTGAATTTTTGCTTATAATTGGGCGGTCAGAGGTTCAAATCCCAGCCATATATGGGGATCTTTTCAGATGCATTCAACATTGGCATCATTCTGTTACAAACATGCTGTTGTTGTTGTTGTTGTTGTTTATAGGACACAATTGTCTCAATATTTTGACCTTAATTTTCATACAAGTCAAAAGCTTGAATGGTTTACAATTCACAAACCAGACATTTTTGGGTTTTGAAATGTAAGAAGATACATGTAAAAGCACATAGTTTTCATGTACTTACGGACAGAGCTCAACTTCCAAATATTTTCCAGAATCAGATAAAAAGAAAGCCTCTACAACTGTAAAAAAAATAATTAGGCATTTGTTAAATTAGTCCATACTTGTATAAACCTTCTTCATCAACAAGGTCCTAAATTACAAGTTTTAATTAAATGCTATCAAAAATGTTCAAAATACTTAAATATCTTATATATAAAATTTTGAAAATCAAGGGATATAATACATTTTCCCTTGTCAAATTTGTAAAACATAGAATTACTTCCCTTACACAAAATCAACATTATCCATTACATGCTTGTATATATTAACCCTTACCACTATTTTTTTTAAATGGACTTGTCTGTCTTTCAATCTGGACAAAACCATTTATCATTTTTAGGGAAAATTTTAAAATGTCTACTGATTGAATAGCCACCAGTGCAGATCATGATTAAGAGGTTAATACACGGCAGGAGAGGGCCGGAAGGTGATAATCGGCCCGCAAAATGAATAATGGACCAGAGGGCTTTAGCCCGAGGGCCATTATTCATTCAGGGCCGATTATCACCTTCCGGCCCTACGCTGACGTGTATTAATGTCTTTTATACACTTGGTAGATCTAATAGTAGCATTTCAAAAAAAAAAATAATAAAAATATAATCAAAACAAATAGACTTTGAAGTTCTTTCGTTGAAATTCTTGTCTACTCTTCTACTGTTCTGTACAGAGATGTTTTCTGTTTGTGTGTTCAAAGCAGTAGAACCAAGAAGCAAGTTTTAATTTTCATTTTTTTCGGAATGAATTTGTCGTATTATTTCTTCAAATTCAATAGTAACAAAATGTGTTTGTACTAAATACGCTTAAGGTCTCATAATAAAAATAAAGCGATTCGTGCTGACAACCTACTTTCACTTTTACAGTTAACTGTTTGATGACGTTAAATGTGACATCATTGTTTCAGTTTGTGCACGTGCACATGTTCTGCGGGCTGATAACTAGTTCTCGGCCCCGGGCCGCAAACTCATAATAGGTCATGTGACACTCATAATCAGTTGAAATCATAGGCAATTTTGTTACTATATATAGTAACAAGTGTATTAACAGACAGTATGGATATGCCAGCACTCAGATCTGCACTGGTCGCATGCAGGTTAAGGGTTTAATTAAAAAATTAAATACCTTCATAATCCCATAGTTGTGGAAATGGCTGCCCTACTGGACCATTTGGTGCCGGTGGATCATTGTAGAAAGGGGCTCGAACACTTAAAACAACTTCATTTGACACTCCTTTACTTAAATAGATTTCCGCTTTTTGGTGAGACAGATCTTTGCCGTCCCAGGACTTCCCAATTGTAAATGCTAGACCTAGCCTAGAAAATAAAATAACAATGTTATTACAAAATATTGATCTGAGTATATCCTGACAGATTAATTAATACATTTTAAGTAAAATAACAGAAATAACTAACATAAATTAACACATTTTTAGAGATATTTTTCAAGAATTTGATTCATTACCTGTCAACCATTTTGAGTTTTAAAACTGTTATGGCAATCCTAGTGAAAGATAAACAGATAAACTATCAGCTAACTATGTATATTGTCATATTGTTATATTAAAATAGAATTGATATCAAATATGTTAGAAACAATGGCGACGTGATGTTTACAAATAAGATTAAATTATTTAATCTTATTTAAAATTGGTCAACCTACATTAAACGATGGGCATTAGATATATTTGTATCTAAATATAATTATCCCCAATACTAATGTAAACTTAGCATCATCCAGAATACACAGGCTTACAACAGATTAAGTCCTGACATCATAATCAAATTTGCTAAATAACATCTAATTTAAAGGTACTCCACTGAGGTCAAAAAGCCCTTAAACATAAATTTTGAAATTCTTGCAAAGATGAAGTAATGTACTTAAAATGGAAAATCTGCAAAATATACTCAGAGCTGGGACATCTTTGTTCCAGCTTATGATTAAATTGTCTTTGAAAATGGATATTTTGCACATTTTAGCACAGACGCTTGGGGGGTCAGATCCTACCCCCCAATGTCATACGCCTGTGTAAACCCTCTATCAAAAATATATAGTTTTATAGTTGTAATAGATGTCTCATTCATGTTTAAATATTAAAATAGTTTTGATAGAGTGTTTACAGGTGCGTATGATCACGTTGGGAGCAAGATCTGACTCCCAAGCGTCTGTGCATTTTAGACCAGTTTTTAAAGTGAAAAGCGTTGCAACGCTTTTTCATTTTTACAATAAAAATAATTATTTCGGGAAAACAAAGTGAAAGAACGATGTGAAATTTTGCACACAAGCTATTTGTCCGGACCTCTATCAAATGGTAAACATGCCTGGAGTTCTTTCATGTCAAAATCCCTTTATTAAATTATTTATTAAACGAATTGCACTTGACTTTGAATACCTGTCCCTTGTCCATACTTTAAAAGCCTTGTATAAAATAAGTATTGCTGATGACACCGACAAAACAGTTAGAAGTCTGCGATTAATTCCCATATCTAGTTTACGCACGTCAATTAAATTACAGGTAAATGGCGTCAATAAATATAAGGGAGGTAATAAATGTAACACAATAAGACTATAGGACGCTATTTCTGATAGGGCAAAATTAACTACTAATATTTGTTTTATTTATTATTAATATGAATGATATTTTAATTTGGATAAACTGTTATTTTATATATATTTATTTATATATATATATCTTATTATGTAACTGTGATCTATGCTGTTGCTAAAATAAAATAAATAAATAGATGACACCGACAAAACAGTTAGAAGTCTGCGATTAATTCCCATATCTAGTTTACGCACGTCAATTAAATTACAGGTAAATGGCGTCAATAAATATAAGGGAGGTAATAAATGTAACACAATAACACTATAGAACGCTATTTCTGATAGGGCAAAATAACTACCTGACTGCATAATGTGCCGTTCCTACAAATATAATTTTTGACCTTGCATACATTCACAGTTATTTCACATTTTCAGCATTTGTTATGTTTTTCATGTATATAGAAACATGTATAAAGCACAAAGATCTTCCCGTGGGGTTTTTATTATTATTTTCCGACTTGATCATCGGAGTTAGTTTTAACAAGCCCGAAATTAAAAGCCTTTGTTACTTTTATTCAGTGTAACTAAGATATATAGGTCTCTATAATAGGCCAATGGTTGCATGGTATATGGTTTTATCTACGTCTCAATCTATACACTTTTTTCATGTTGTCTAAAAAAATCGCAAATTCTTTAAGTAATGAAACAAAAAAAATAACCATAAAACCATTGTGTGGGTTATCCAAGTATCAATTTACACTGTCGCAACCCTAACAAGTCTGCATACCTTTATTCTATTTAAACATTTCAAACATGTATTCTAAAAGCTATAAAACACTTTATTGCATCATTAAATGACATATTCAAGCCTAATTTTGCGTATAAAAGAATTTAATTGACCGCGCAAGAGCTTTCTCTTTATCTTATCGCCATTTAATAATATGGAAGATATTGTGACGTCATACAGGTAAATATAGTCTTCACGTGACACGTTTACCTGTGAAACCGACTTTTTGATCTACGTTTATGTCGATAATGCTCATTCGGATATAGAGAGCATCTAGTGTCGTCTGCTTGAAGAAAATCGCTGTGGATTATTATTATATACAGAAATACCATTACTGTAATATGGTAAAACCGCGCCCTTCTGATCAATAGTGGAACTTATGAACCAGATGGATACAAGTTTATATCTCATTTATTTATATAATTAAGATGGCAATATAAGATAAAAGAAAAGTTGAAAAATTTGGATTTGTTTTGTAGTTTTCTGCAAAATTTTGAAATCACTTATTTCTCATTATGAGGGATGCTAACGAACCCGTGCACGATGATTCACGGGTTGGAATCACATCAGAAGCACGTGCACATCCGGGGCCAGGTGTTTTCAAAAGAAGTGCCTCTGAAAGGACGTTTTGTCACTTACAGCAAATGGAAAAGAATTATTCAAAATTAGGAGATCGTTTCACTAAGATAAAAGAAAATTCCGGTAACAATGGAATGATAAAGGTGGCATCTTTGAGTTCAATAGATTTTAGTGAGAATGGTGAACGTGACCTTGACATGAACCACTTTGTAGGTCGGAGAGATGTTTCCAACCCAACGACAATAAATGAGAAACGAATTATGAGCTCAAGGGGTAGTGTGAGGGGTTTTAAAAATAGGGTTCGAGCAGGAATAGCGACATTTCTGGATCAAAATGGATTTTCTG